TGTCAACTATTGTGTGCCATGCAGTTTCCATAGTAGTTTCCATAATTAAATTTACCATGCAGTTTCCATAATAAAATTTGCTGTAATTTTAGAGTTTTTACGATCAAGCAATCAAAATAATATTAATACTTCGGTGCTCTTGGACTGAAGTACTGCTGGTATACACCACTCTCCACGATTTCCAGCATCCTGGTCGCATTTTTCTTGACACACCTTGGCAGCTTGAATTGAGCAACACTTCCACCCCTGGATGCGGCATCATCAGCGATTCGATTGAAAGTCCCTGGTGTCACAAGCCTCAGCTCCAGAGCTCCAATGGATCTCTCCATCCTCCCCCTGTGATACACCACGCTCAGTGATTCCTCCATCTTGTAGCAGCACTCTCCTGCCTTTTCCGGTTCCAAGTGAAGCTCGCTGGACAGCTCCCAGTAAATCACGTAGTGCGGAGGATTGGAGGAGAGGTCGGCATAGCTGGTGTAGTCCGTCAATCTTATTGCTTCCCCCTCCTTGCTCGTGACGCCGTTTCGCAATGCCGCAAACGCGTTCATGACTGCGGTCTGGAGCTCCTTCTCGTCCGTTTTGTCCGAGTCGATGCTAAGTAGAACGTTCCTCCGGCAGACGAAGCTGAAGAGCGGAGCTTTGTTGTGGAAGCCTTCGACTCTAAGAACGTCACCCATGCGATATCTGTACAATCCTGATGGAAAGAGCCAGAAAAGATAAAGACACAAGCCAGGACAATGAACTGGAAGCTTTACCAGCGTTTGTCGTGATCACAAGCTCGTACTCGTGGCCTTGTTCCACATCAACGAGTTCCACGGGCTCTTTACGAGAAACTTTCTCCTCCGATCGAGCCACCGGCAGAAACTCGTAGTAGGAGGTCTCGGGCAGAAACATGTAGGAGATCTGGGACGGCTCGCAAAGCGGCTTGAGATTCACTCCAAAGAAAGACTCCGAGGACGCGTAGATCATCGATGCTATTGGCAGGCCGCCGGTGAGATAGTCGACTTCTCCAACATACTGCTCCATAGCACCGGTGACGACTGTGTCGATAGCTTTGGCACTGGGCCACAGCTTCCGGACGATTCCTTTCAAGCTTCCACTCGAGCACGCCTCGTCGATCACGTTCGCAAGCTCTGGATCCGGCCTTAAGATCTTCTCCACGGCTTCTCTGCAAGCCGGATCCACAACTCTCTCGGACAAAGTTCCTGTTCGTATGTCCCTGGACAGCTCCTGCCACCAGGCTTCGAGGCACCTTATCGACCTCACGAGCGCGGACGCAAAGAAGCAGCCCAGCTTCGTCACGTCTCGGGCGTGGATCAAACCACACAGCAAGTGGCAGTAGGAGGCTTGCACGCTATCCGTGCAAAGTATCACCTCCATGGGGCTTGTATAATCGTTGCTTGGATCGAAAGGCCGGTTGCGGAACTCAAGACTGTTGTAGTATCCCGTCAGTGCTGGATAAGCTGGAAGCCCTCCAGGAGTCTTGCGGCCACTTCTCACG